ACAAAGCAAACAGCGTCGTCCCCTTGGTCGACAAATTCCTCAGTCCCGCAAATCCCGCGGGATCCCGCTCCATTTATGTGCGGGATTAAAAATGCTGCGGGATCCCGGTATTTCGAGATCCCACGATCCCGGTATTGCATTCCCTAGTTACAGCCCTTTGAATTTTCTTTCGAAATTGGTTTCTAGTCTATAACTTTTGATTGAGAAGTCTGATCGAAAAAGTACGAATTGTTTTGGATTCTACGCACCAAAATTAATAAGAAAAAGTATTTTCCCGAGAAATTTTGGTGTAGTCGATTTTTGGTAAAAAAGGAAGGTTATACACTGCCTTTTTTTGAGCCCCGAAAAAAAAATTGTCTCAGATCGACCCGGGAAAAAATTTTTCTTATAGAATGTGGCCTGTAGAATCCATAATTTCAAACAGTTCCAAGATTGGGCTACTAGTTCAAAAGTTACAGCTAGGGAATGCAATCCCGCAGCAAAATCTCAATCCCGGTATTTGCAGGATTGTTAGATGTTCATCCCGCGGGATCCCGGTATTTGCGGGATCCCGCAAAACTTTAAATAAATTTGCAAATAAGCAATTATGTGCGGTTAACTTCTGTATTAAAATAAATCGCTAATTATCACAATATTTAACAAAACAGTTCCTTCAGCCCAACTTAGAACTCAAAAAAAAAAGGTGAACTTCTAAAGTGCCTCAAAAATCATAGTATATTTTTAACGAAAAAAGTTTAACAATTATTTAAAAATTAACACCTCAGTTATGCGTTTCATTAACAAAGGACACAGAGTGGTCCCCTTGATCGCCAAATTCCTTAGTCCCGCAAATCCCGCGGGATCCCGCTTCATTTATGTGCGGGATTAATTGACGACACTGATATAGTTTATATACTATGATAGCTAGAACATTTAAAGATTAAATATTAATCTCGCAAAAATGCTGCGGGATCCCGGTATTTCGGGATCCCGCGATCCCGGTATTGCATTCCCTAGGCATAACCATAGTTATTCCGATCCTCCTTAATAATCCAGTAAGAATAGATCAAAAAATGACAAACAGGGGAATTAAATAATGTATTACCAATTCCTTCTGGAATGTGTAGCAGAAGGTCTCCTGATCAACATATAATAAAGCCTTCCCGACTATACCCCTGTGTTAGAGGGGCGAGGGGGGAGACCGTGGCTTTGATGGACACATTTTATTTACAATTCGAAAACAGTACGCCATAGAAAACAATTCTTTGCATCTAAATAAAAGATCATTAAGTTTGCTACAACTTTGATTCTATAAACTTTCTTAAAAAAATCACAGTTTTTAAGTTTTTGAGTTACAGGAGATGTGGATGGAAGAATAGCCAGGTAGTGATTGGTGAGGATGTAGATCTCGTCGTTCTGCTAATTGCACTTACTCCCCCAAGCAAAACAATTTTTTTATCAAGCCTGAGATGAAGTTATTCTCAACCCCTATTCTTGAACGTGACTTCCGTGTGAGTGAGTGACGTCATGTCGAGCGATTTTCATAATTTCGTAGATTCTTGACACTTTGCGCCAATGTTTCCAATCTCCGGTGCTATTCAAAGTAGCCGTACCTGCCTTTTTTTTTCGTAAAATTAGGGGATGATACGAAATTTGGTGAGCGAGGGAGTCGCCGATGAAAAAGTCACACACTCGCCGATTCTCGAGCGGTTCAAGAATAGGGGTCTTCTACCACATAACTACAAGAACTCCCCTACAGTAGATCCATTCTCTTCATACACGCTTTTTCGGGGTGCGATACACCCAGCGCCATACATAGAAACTCAAAACGATTTTGTCCAGGAGGCAGCGACATTTGTTGTGCACTCATTTATACAAAGCTGATATTGTGCCATTTTATTGTTTTGATAGTACAAGTAAACAAATCGGTAGTCTACCGCGTCGGCGGTGTTGCCTAAATTTGCAACAATTTTCTAAGCATGTTAATAAATAATATGTACATGCCTCATTTCTACAAGAATGAAAGTTTGTACAGTAATTAGATATACCTAAAAATGAAGTATGGTAATAGTCTACCGAGCTGGAAGCGTTGCTATCACAAGTCTACCACCCACGCAAGATGCATAAAAAATTATCCGATTGAACTTATTTTATTTTTATTTGTTGGAAAAAGTGGATGTCATAAGAAACAAAAAAAAATGGTCTACCGATCGCGCGTAAATAGTTACTGTACGCGATATTTGTTTTCCATGCATTTTAATGAGCGCCCCCCCCCCCCCTCTGTGCCAATTCGTTAGAAAATTTTCATGGCTTAACATGATTTTGGTAATTGGAGTTATTGCCGAATTTTTGATAAAATAATGAAATCTAAAAACATAAGTTATTTTAAATTTCCTATAAAAAACAAACCTCGAATGACGGCAAGGAAAATTAATTGTGGAAATTCTGTTATTGCCGGGCTAGACGATGAAGAATTAAAATATAAAATCGTTTGGCTCTTTAATTCATGTGATATTTACAAAAGCGGCAATCGAAAGTAATTAAGAATCAATTCAGTTCCTTTGCGTTACTCAAAACAAGGTAACCAGGTTATTTTTTGTCGTTAAAATGACTGATACATTTTTTCAAGATTTAAATTACAAAGAAGATGGCCCTTCTACCTCGTACTGCAATCAAACGTTCAAAGAAACGAGAAGTATTCCAACCCCATTCAAACATTTTTTGCGAAAACTCCAATTCAACCACAAATTCGACTTTATGTACAGCAATTTTGAAAATGCCATCACCACAAAAATTACCTAGAAATAATATTACAAGTTGAAAACTTTGGGCAAAAACCTAAATACGAAAAACGTTCAAATTCATAGACTGAAAACTAAAACATCTCGCTTCTCAACAGGTTAGTCAATTAAATTTTTTGCGTAGTTATCAAATTACCGGGCTTTTTTTGTCAAAAAATCGTATGGAAACTGGTACTTTTGTTCACGATTTTCTATGAACAGTAGCATTAAATTTTGACACATAATGGGGAATGTCAATTAGATTATTCAGTTATGAGTTATCGTGCACACGGACAGACGAACAGGCAGACGGACAGACACACAGCAATACAAAATTATAAACAATCTCTTAATAATAAGAAATACAACTGAAAATGAACTAATTCGTATATCATTAGATAAAAAAAAGTCTTCTTTCGATTGGTGTCATTACAAACCCGCTAAGACCTAAATTATCTTGGGGAGCAACGATCTGCAAAGAACCTTTTTCCCATGTTTATTTCCTATGTTCGTTTTTGAAATATTTTTATTTTATGCCCGTGTATATAATAATTTAGAGGTACTTTTAGCAGAGCAGTGCAGCGGCTGCTCTCGGAAAATTTTTAGATATACTTAATTACTGTACAAACTTTCATTCTTGTAGAAATGAGGCATGTACATATTATTTATTAACATGCTTAGAACATTGTTGTAAATTTAGGCAACACCGCCGACGCGGTAGACTACCGTTTTGTTTAGTTGTACTATCAAAACAATAAAATGGCACAATATCAGCTTTGTAGAAATGAGTGCACAAAAAATGTCGCTGCCTCCTGGACTGATTTTTCTTAAAATCCTTAGTTTTAGAGAAACATTTCAAAAAAGGTTGATTTTATCCCACGTAAGGGATGGTTTTAGGGTGACGGGCTCAACGCCTCGACGCTGGGGTTTCAGAGGGTGTTTAGACCCTTATAACAAAGTACCTTGCCAAATTTCAGCTTGTCTCTAATTTGTTGAACGTTACCCATATAAAACGATGGATAGGCCCTGTGCTATTACAAGTGATTTCAACGATTCCTTTCAATTATATACTTGACTTGGTTATAAAAAGTCAAAAGTATAACAGTAATAAGGCAATATAGTACTTTAATGGTAAGAATTTCATCTTTCCGAAAATTGGCACAGTAAAACTCGTGTTTTTTCGCAGTCGATACCCCCGAGGGGCACAACCATAGTTATTTCGGGTTTGAACTATGGTGTAGTATGGATATTTCTAGTCAGACATACCAATTCTTACAGACTGAAGGCATAATTCTGCAGTTCGGTGTTGTTCTTTGTCACCATATTGACAATTGGTCCAGGATCTAGTGTTTGCCGGTAATTCGTTACTTTTTGCACTTCACTCCTTACGCTGATGCATTTTCATAAAAAGAGGTATGATTTTATTGAAAAGACTTCACATGTCAAGAGCGCGTACATTACGTACGGTTAGCTTCCACCCCTTGTCGCACTCTTTCCATGTTCACTTTTCCAAGGTTCATACATTTGTGGAGTTCCTGGTTTCAAAGATCCTTGAAATGCTAATCAGCAATTTCATAACGATGTTCCGTATCCACAGAAAAAGCAATCGTGTTCAAATTTTGTGTTCCTTAAATATAGATGCAGGTTTTGGTGTGTGCACTGCAAGAGAAAATATACAACTTGGTCCATACGTTTGGTCTCCTTTCAAAACACACCAGAAAGGAAATATACTAGAGAAAGCAAACAGGGCCCCGAACCAAACAGGCGTAAACTCCAATTCAATGCGAAAACTGAGAAATAGCAACCTGTTTAGTAACAAAGCCCGCCTATAGACAATAGAGTTTTACTAGCTTGTTGCCCTAAGTGGCATTTAAAGCAGATATTACAGACTCTTGACTCTGAATCGCATCGCAAAACTGAAGTCGAAAGTTATTTAATCAACACTAAAAGTCAAAAATTCGCAGAGCGGAGTTTAATTAAACATGTTTTGGGGCGTTTTAAAATGTAACGTAGTAATTAAGAGGAAATCCATTAAAGCAAGGGGTAAATATTATGTAATGCCATGAAAAAACAGTTACATACGCGAAAATGAATTAAAATACATAAACTCGAAAGGGAAAATATTACCCGCGCACACTCACACGCATTTAACGCCAAAATTAAGCTTTAAATTCCGGAAACTTTGCTATTGTATTTAGTCGGAATGGCGAAAAACATTTTCCCCAAATTATAGAGACTTACTTTTTCTGGGAGGAGGACTTCCGAGCGCGAATTGCAGAAGAACTAACACAACTAAAAACGCAAACACCTGAGCGTCACGGATCATTGTAACGATATTCACAAACGCATAATTCCGCTCAAAAAGGATCACACGCGCACAACCACTTTTCCACTCGAAAAGGCGAGCTGCATAAATATTGTACTTTAGTGCAATGCGGTCATATTTAACTAGCCGATAAAAGCTTCCAGCTCAGTCGATGCATTCTCGTCCATGGACCATAAAACAGTCGCGCGTCCTAAAACGTCATTGCGAAAAAAAGTGGAAAGCTCGCCCCCAGCACCTGCAAGATGCGAACTGACTATTGTTGGACCAGAAATTTGAAGCTTGAAGCTTTCAAGCAACACGAGTGTGCGTACCAAAGCTCGCGACCCTTCGGCATATCTGATTTATAATACTCGCTACTGCATAAATATTTCTTTTCAACCTCACGACTGACCACCACTCCACCAAAGGTATGCTAAACGATTTTCTAACATAGTTTCCGCTTCGCCACTTAATAACTTCATCATACTAAGTGTTAACTACTTTTGTTGGAAGGGAAAGGCGTCGTTTAGATTAGACCAAATGCCAGTAAGGATAATGAAGGCGAAGATTCGTGATATGTAACAAAGGAGCTGCAAGGAAGTATAAATTATTACCCTTTTTTCTCTTTTTCTCTGAAAACCGCGCGCATACAAGTACTTCCCCTGGAGAGAAATTTCGCGCGACTAGAAGTTAGTAACTGATTAACAAAGGCATTAAGTAAAATAATGTTTATACTAAAAATGTTATTGTTACGACTTAAACAAGTCTTGCCCGCACAAGAAATGTAAAACGGTTCGAAATTATGGATTCGAAGTGCGGTTCTATATTTAACAACGTTTATGTGAGTAACTGAAAGGGGAAGGGTCCGCCATAATTCCGTTCCTCTAATTGCCAATTAAATTTCAACTCATTCAAGAACGACAGAAGGGACTGCGAGTTATTTAAAAATGGGAAACTCTCAAAGACTGTTTTGAATATTGTACTATTTGTACAGGTGCGCGTTATTCGAGTGCGAATTCAAAGCTGGTTGCAGATACTTTATGACTTTCTGAGATTAAGCGCGATGCCAAGGGTGAAAAAGAACCCCTCTCGACATCCCATTAGGATATTTCGAGAACGTTTCGGAATCACGATAAAACCTGCGCGAAACAAAAGCGGCACATAGATTATCTAAAAATCCATATCGTAGATATGACTTTTTATATAAAACCTTCAAGGCTCTATGAAGTTTGTGGTGATAGTTGCTCTTCAGGATAATTTAATACAGTTTTGGGAAGGATGCCAAATTAGCTTGTTAGGAGTAAAAAGATTTTAATTAAAAAAAATTAGAAAATTCCGTAAGCTACTTTTTCGTGGCTTTCATTGTAGCATTTCCGGAGGTGCCAACCAGAGAAATATTTACCGCTGATATAGACCCTTGCAATTGGGCATCTTCTTGGCTTCCCGAATCTAACAGAGCTTTGCAGTTGGCAGTTCTATGTTTGTTCTTTGGTTCAACAGCTACAGTACTAAGGATGACTTTGCTGATGTTACAAGCTATATTGCTACCAGAGCTGGACAGTATTCGATTTTTTAAATACTTTTTAGTATTCAAATCCTTTAAAGTATTCAAATACTTTGTAATTAAATACTTTTATGGAAGCAGTATTTGTATTTGTAACTCAAATACTTTCACAAATATGCAGTATTCGAATACTTCGCAAAGTATTTGAATACTTAACCTTCCTTTTTTACCAAAAATCGACTACACCAAAATTTCTCGGGAAAACACTTTTTCTTATTAATTTTGGTGCGTAGAATCCAAAACAATTCGTACTTTTTCGATCAGACTTCTCAATCAAAAGTTATAGACTAGAAACCAATTTCGAAAGAAAATTCAAAGGGCTGTAACTTTTGAACTAGTAGCCCAATCTTCAAACTGTTTGAAATTATGGATTCTACGGGCCAAATTCTATAAGAAAATGTTTTCCCGGTCGATCTCAGACAATTTTTTTTTCCGGCCTCAAAAATAGGCAGTACTTTTAAGTTATTCAAATATTTGAGAACAATTTAGAAATGTTTAGGGAAAGTTTCCATTGTCACAAAATCAAATATAAAAATCCGATACATCTGAATACCGAACTCGATAGTCTACGTAACTTAAAAACAATAGGGACCTTTCTTATATCCTTAAGACCATGTGTACCAATTTTCAAAGCGATCGCACGTTTCTAAACAAGTTATCATGCACACGGACAAACGGATGGTCAAAAATGGATCTGTTCCAAAATCGCTAGGATTAATTTCAGAAAGGCGTACGTATCATGTGCACGACGTACGATCGCTTTGAAAACTGGTACACGTATTCTTAAGGATATAACTGGTATAAGAAAGGTCCTGGTAGGTACCTCCTATATAATAATATAATAATAACAATACGCTTTTACTCCCCTTAAATTTGTATATAACAATAGAAATATAAAAAAAGCTAACCCCATACAAAGTATAACTTGATTTTTTAAGTAGTATTCAGACTTTTATCTAGTATACTATTTTAAATTTTTAATGTATTTGAGTGACAAGTATTTGAATACTTTTTACTGTATTCGAATACTTTTCAAAGTAAGATAATGAAATACTTTTCATAGTATTCGAATACATTTTAAAGTATTTGAATACTTTTCAATGTATCTGTATCTAGTATTCGCTTGTGCGGACGTAAAAGTATTTAGTATTCAACACCTTTGATTTGTCTAAAGTATTTACTATTTAGTACTCAAATACTTTTTGAAAGTATTCTGCCCAGCTCTGATTGCTACTCACTTAGAGTTGGAGACTCAACTGCTGGTGATTCCGAAGCAGATTCTGACTTATGTCCATGAACCTAGCAGAGCAAGGTCAGCAGAACACAATCAAACATATTGCATAATTACGTATAATACGTAATCAGATGCTAATTAAGTGCCCTATTCCCGAATTAAATGCTCCTTTTTATAAAAAATTATTACATGTTTTGCCAGGTTCATATGAACTCAGCAGAATACTACCTCAAAAAACCAAGAAAATGAAAAGTGATCTAAATATAATTAGGTGCTAATTAAGTGCCCTATCCCCGAATTAAATGCTCCTCTTTTTTTAAATTATTACGTGTTCTGCCAGGTTCATATGAACTCGGCAGAGCACTACTTTAAAAAACCCAGAAAATGAAAAGTGAACTAAGTATAATTAGGTGCTAATTAGTGCCCTAATCTCGAATTAAATACTCCTTTTTTTTAAATTATTACATGTTCTGCCAGGTTCGTAATTTAAAAAAAGGAGCATTTAATTCGGCAATAGGACACTTCATTAGCACCTAATTATAGTTCACTTTTCATTTTCTTGGTTTTTTGAGGTAGTGTTCTGCTGAGTTCATATGAACCTGGCAAAACATGTAATAATTTTTTTAAAAAAAGGAGCATTTAATTCGGGAATAGGGCACTCAATTGGCACCTAATTATGCAATATGTTTGATTGTGTTCTGCTGACCTTGCTCTGCTAGGTTAATGGACATTTCTGACTTATGGAGTCAGGAGTTATGTTTCCTCTTGCAGAACTGGCGATTTTCGACTTGGGCAATCCTTTGCTACATGGTTGGGCTTGAAGCAATTGATGCACAGAGAAATATTCTTCACATGGACAATTCTGTACAAAAAAGCTCAAAACTTAGAAGGATTACTTTTTATCCATCAGAATACTATATTATTAAACTGCATCAGGTGAATATCTTGGTTCAAATCAACTCTCTAGATTACTGTGTGGGTGGAATAGTCTTTCTTCTAGTTGTTTTCTATAGTGCAGTATTAAAATAAGTGGAACAAATGGTGCTGATTGAATTAATTGAGTTGTTACATGTGAATATTGTGCTTGCCATCTACCTCTTTATACGTTCTATCAACTCTATTTTCTCTAGAAGAGTAAAATTCGCTCATTCTGTACAGGAACTCGAGTTGCTATTGCAACCCCAATCCTTTACCTTTATCATCCCCTTTATTAAATAACCCAGTGCAGAGCAATGTTTGGGTTTGTCTTAATTGGTTATACCTCTTTTTCAGATAAGAGTATGCAAAAGAAATTGGACTGCTTCTGGTTCAACATTTATTATCTACAATAGTAAATGAGATGCATGTGTAAGATCAAAAAAGGATTCCCTTCACATTTATTTTCGTATGTTTTGTTTTTGTACTTGAGAATTTGATGAATAATTATAGATCTTCAATAATTAATTTAACTAGAATGTGGATTTACGTAATTCCAAGCAAGCTGTAGTAGTATTGTTATGGCATTTGCCAGCACTATAGAGAGCTCTGGAGAAAAATACAGGTATATGGTTATTTTAGATACTTTTGACCTAAGAACGGTTTTTTTTTTAATTTTTAGCGCATTTTTGAAAAAATACGCTATTATATTCGTTATGGCTGGCTGGCCGGCTGTCCGGGTGAGATCTCAGCAACTACAATAGCTAGAGACTTCAAATTTTCAGTAAAATTTTTCTTATGTAGTGTAGATGTGCTGGCTGTAGTTTATTTTTAGTTAGATTACTTGTTAGATCGGTAATTAAAGAAAATAATTACGATATGGTTTTCGGAGGTGCTATAATTTTACCCCGAATCTATTAAGTTTCTCGGATTACATATCGACGCTACGTTAACATTAAAAATGCATACTAGAAATACTTGTAAAAAAATAAGCAGTAACATCTATGTCTTACGGCGATTGGCAAATAATGTCTCAAAGAACACGCTTGTAACTGCATATTATGCCTTAGTCCACGCAATAATCTATTATGGAATTTTAGTTTGGGGAAACTGCGCCTCATCCATCGACGTCTTTGCTCTACAGAGGCGATCTATTCGCATACTGGATTCAGTACCTTATAGAGCTGACTGCAGAAACTCATTCCGCGCATTGCGTATACTAACACTGCCATCAATTTATATTCTAGAATGTGTTCTATACGCTAAATCCAACCAAGCGGATTTCCAAACGCACTCGACCTATCATAA